TTCAGCAAGCAGGGTTGTGTCACCTGCATAACGCAGATTGTTGAGAAATCGTCCACCAATCTTGACCCCACATTTCTGCTCATAGAGCCCAGCCTCCCGAATAATCTGTTCTGCATATAGGTTGAAAAGGTATGGAGATAGGATGCATCCCTGGCATACGCCTTCCCAATTTTAAACCATGCAGTGTTCCCTTGCTCTGTTCTGACGATTGCCTCCTGGTCCAAGTATAGGTTTCGCATTAGAACGACCAAGTGTTCTGGTATTCCCATTCTTCTTAGAGTCAGCCACAGTTTGTTATGATCCACACAGTCAAATGCCTTTGCATAGTCAATCAAACACAGATAGACATTCCTCTGGTATTCTCTGCTTTCAGCTAAGATCCATCTAACTCATAGCAACACTAATAGGGTAGTATTAATAAGTTCAGAATTCTCTATATAGGTATCAGTTATAAAACTATAGTTATTTTTCTTTAGCCTGCAAAACTAGTTGCATAGTGTCCCCCACCCCCACCCCCGCAATTCTGTTTCCTGTCTTTAGTCATGTAGAGTAGTTTAATCTGTCTGCTTACCAGAGAGGAAATACATCTATCCTAGATCTAGATGCTGGTGAAGCTGGTTCTTCCAGTCATATGTAAACTGTATCTTTTTTTTTTAACTTTATTATTTTTTGTGAGTGTACCATCAAATCAGATCTGACTGGTACAGTAGTAGATTGTCCCTCCTTCCCCGGCAGAGCATCTGGTGGATTCGAACCGTGCGCCTCTGGGATTGTAGTTGCAGCTCCTTGCCACTAGGCCTCCAGAGCTCCCCTGTTTAATCTACCTGTTTATCAGGATGAGAAATGGGGCCTTCCTGAATTACTGATACATAGATGGAAACTGTCCTTTTCAGATGTAGAAATTACCTTTTTTTTTACTAACAAAAGTGCATTGTTAAATGAGCTGGAGGTTCGCCCTAGTATATAAGGCCATGACCACTCCCAGATGGGGAGGCAGTCTTAGAGGTGACTCCCTGTCTCCCTGATCTGTGTGATAAAGTGCATGTATGGATATTACAGTCCGGTTGTCTTACTGGTGACTGACTATGGAAAGAACCCCTTGCATTCAGTAACAACACTATGAACGAAAGACCTGAACGCTTGTGTAACTTTCATCCTTTCTCCAGGTTCATAGGGTTTTAGGAGGCAAGCTTTTTCAGAAGTGGATGCCACTCCTGCTTCCAAGATTGTTTTAATTGGAGAGCTCCACCAAACACTGTCCACCATGGGTAACCATTGTTGTATTTGACACATCAGTGTCACAGTGTTCAGCATCACAGCAACCACAAGTTACCTAGGTACAGCAAGTGGACAGACCAGGGCTATAAGACCTAAAAGAATGTTTGACCAAAAACAATTAAAAACAGGCCTGAGGGCCGTTGGATGGTATAGTTGATGGCAATAGGTACTGAATTCTTATTAGTTTCCTTCTTGATTACTTATTGTAAAACTACTTTTCAATTATAACAAACCAACAGTTCCAGGTGTTTGGCTGGTAACCAAAAGGTGGAAAGTTTTAACCCAGTTAGAGGCAATTTGGGAAAAATCAGCCATTGAAAACTTTTTGGAGTACAGATCTTCTCTCGTACTCATGAAGTGCTTTGAGTTGGAATTCACCAAGGCAACTAGTCTTTTTTTGCTGCTCTCAATCAGCATGGGGAGGAGCAGCCAATAAGGTTCAAGTTCAAGTATGGAAGATTGTAAAGACTAACGCTTTCCTATAGAAAACACAGAGGCAGATGAGACGTTTTGATCAAATACTGCAGCAGCTGTTGCTTCCTGAATGGAGTGTGTAGTTTTGCCATGTGTGTTGTTTATTCCTGAACAGATCTCCTTTGACCCCGAAAGCAGTCACTTGACAGAGGCTGACAAAACAGGAAGTGATTTGAATGCAGCCTTTGTTTTAATGATTTTCTAAACTGAAGAGTTTTAACTGAGTATTTGCTGCCTTGCTTTAAACACTGCTACTGGGTATAAAACAACTTTGGGTTAAAGTATTTAGCCAGTGCGAAGTTCTGTGCAAACAGTGACTTACTAGTTCCGTTCACAAGGCTTTGGTGAAATTCCAAACAGGGATTGCTTACTTTTTTTTTTTTTTTTTTTGGCTAGAGAGTGCTGGGGGTGGGGAGAGAACAAGGGAACTGGGAAGGGAAGAAGGGGAAGTTAAACCTCCCTTTCCTCCCTGCCTTCCTCAGAAAACCAAATATGGCATCTTCCATGAGGAGCCTGTTTTCTGACCACAGCAGATACGTGGAATGCTTTCGGAGTTTTCTCAACAATTCCACGGAACATCAGTGCATGCAGGCATTTATGGAGGAGAAGCTGCCAGGCATTATAGCAAGGTAACAAAAAAGGGGCATTCTTGCCAAAAAGACAGGTCTTGGACTCCTTTCTGTGCAAGTGATAGATGGGTGGAGCCTATGGGCGCCAGGGAAAAGCCAGTGACTGATGGCAGCTGGGCTGGCCCCTCACTCCGGGCTGGCTCCCATCTCGTGCTGTGCTCTGCTTAGATGCTGCCTTTAAACAGGGGCTCTGATTTGTGTGCTATTTCCAGCTGCATGGAGATAGGCATTAACTGTTTAAAGGCACCAAATCTGTGTTCCTTTGGGTAAAGATAAGATACCGATCTTGTGATCCAGATTACTCAGCCCTTCTCCAAATTTTTACATTTCAAATCATTCCCAAATGGAACCTAGCTTTCTTTTCATTAGAATCAAATATAAATGCTTGCCAAATACTGTTTGCCCGGTGGATTGAATCAGCACCCCTCCGTTCTCATTATATCCATTTAAATTCACGTTCCTTATCCATTATTATGGTTTTCACTCTCAAAAAAAATCGTCTATCCCTTTCAACTTAATATTAACAACGTGGTCCTGAAAAAGGAGCATTTTCCCATTATCAGTGAAACTCACTAGTTGCTGTCTCTCTCACAGACTTCTTTTTTGTGTGATTAATGTGTTCAATTTGTGCCAGAGCTGATAAGCATTATGAGAGTAACAGATTCCACATGCTAAAGATAATCAAATCGCCTATCTGGGGGTGGATTGGTGTAATTTATTCTGTTTCAGGAAATAATGATGGAAAGCTGGGAAGAAATGATTGACTGCAGGTCCAATTGGCACCAGCAAAGAAAGCTGATATTTTTGCCTTCTGCATTTTGACACTGTGGGCCTGAATTTCTTTTATCAGGGCAGCTCACTTGCCTTGCCAGTATGTATGCAGAACTCTGGCTTTGTTTCCTTTTTCTGTTGTTCATGGTTCAGTTTTTAAATGCTAACTTTGTAGGATTTTGTGGTTTTTGTTTTTTGTTGTTGGGTGGTGTTTTTTTTTTTTTTTTTTTTTTTTTTTTTTTTTTTTTTGTATCAGCTCTCACTGTTGCTTGGATTCCCACTCACAGTAATCCTCCATTGGGTTTCCAAAGCTGAATGTCTTTAAAAGGGAGCCCTGGTGACCTAGTGGAAAGCTATGCTGCAATCCTGAAAGCAAGCAGTTCTATGGGAGAAGGATGGGCAGTGTCCTCCCATGGGATTAACTGGCCCTAAAACCCTGCCAAAAGGTCAGCTATGGGTCAGTTCTGACTATCATCAGCAATAACAACACAACTACATCCTTTAAAGGAAGAAATGGCCCATCTTTCTCGCTCAGAACACCTAGTAGATTGGAACCAGTGATCTCATGGTTAGCAGTCTGATATGTTACTTATTAAGCCACCAGGGCTTCTTACTTATATTTGGTAGCATAAACCTTTTCAATGGGTTGTTAACCTAAAATTTGGTGATTGGAACCCACCAAGTGGTTCTGTGGAAGAAAAGGCCTTGCTCTCTGCACCCATCCACTGCCATCAAATAGGTTCTGGCCCACAGTGACCCTTTCTTGGTTTCCAAGGCTCTAAATCTTTATCTCAGGATATTGTCCATCTGTGTCCTGAATATTAGCTGGTAAATGGGATTTCAGAGGCAGTTGATTACATGGAAGGAGATTGGTAATCTTCTTGCAGAGTAGCTGGTGGATTTGAAACACATGCCCTTGTGATTGCAGTTTCTTACCACTAACTAGGCCATCAGAGTTCCCTTTTGATTAGCAGGGCAACACATATGCCCTATGTGCATATGTGCTTAGAATTCCTTTCAGTAAAGATTGTTGTTGTTGATTGCCATCGAGTTGAGCACGACTCATAGCGACCCTATGAAGAAAAGACCTGAAGCCTTTCTTAAAAAAAAAAAATAAATTTTATTTTATTATTTTGTGTTTGTGTACCATCAAATAGGATTCGACTGGTATAGGAGGCAATTGCCATCTTTCTCCAGCAGAGCATGTGGTGGATTCAAACTGCATGCCTCTGGGATTGTACTGCAGCTTCTTGCCAGTAGGCTACCAGAGAATCCTTTCTATATTGTCATTTCTCCAAGTTCATAGAGTTTCTAGAAGTATGTGGTTCCTAAAAAATCCAATGAAACAATTCTATCCTGTAATACATGAGGTAACCATGAGTTGGATGATTGGACAATAACCAACAATATCATTAATAATTAATTGTAATGCTGATGAAGAATCTCCCATGGACTAAAAAAGTAATGACAAACATCTTTTAATAATTGGAACTTGGATGCACAGAGTTGGAATGTTAGAAAACTAGAAATCGTAAAAAAGGAAATGGAAAGCATGAACATCAACATTGTAAGCATTAGTGAGATGAGATAGACTTTGAGATAGCTTTGGCCACTTTGAATCAGATAATCACATGATATACTATGTTGGGAATGAAAAACAGTAGAATGGTGTTGAAAAAATAAATTTCAAGTTCTATCTTGAAATATGATATTATCTATATGCATACAAGGAATACCTGTTATACAACTATTATTCAAATATATGCTCCTGCATTGACAGTCAAAGAGGGAAAAAAATGAATATTTTTACCAAATTTTGCAGTCCAAAATTGACCAAACATGCAATCAAGGTGCATTAACAATTGGTGATTAGAAGACAAAGTTGGAAACAATAAAGAAGGAATATTGTTATGTTTCATAGAGTCGTCTACAACTCATTGCAACCCTATGAACAACAGCTCTGAAGTCTGCCCTGTCCTGAACCAGTCTCACTGACTCTGACACATCTAGTCCCTTTACCCTAGTTACTGTATCAATCCATCTGATCTGGGATCTTCCTCTCCTGGACTGTCCCTCGACCCATCCGGGCATGATGTCCTTCTCCAAGGATCGGTATCTCTGGGCCACGTGTCAAAGTACATGAGATGGAGCTTCAAAATACTAGCCTCTAAGGAGAAACTTGGTTTCACCCTCTCCAAGACAGATCTATTTGTTTTCATAGTATGTTTAAGACTCTAAAAATATGCAAAACTGAATGAGTGAAAATTCAAGTTTTCTGTGAACTATCATTAAAATCAATAAAAAAATTAAAATGGAAAAAAAAACCCCTCTTCTCTAGTTCCACAATGGAAAAGAATCCATTATTCTTCTGTCATCCTTAGTCATTGTCCAATTCTCGGATGCATAGAAGTAAGTAATTTGTGAACACCATGGCTTGGATCAGGCACTTCTTAGTCTCTACACCGACACTGTTGCTTCTCAGTACTCTGGAGAGGGCATAGCAGATTTCCCTAGTGCAATTTGTCTTTTGATTTCCTAATTGCTTGTGCCAAGAGTGTTGATTTGTGGAGTCAAGCAAACTGTAATTTTGTATGAGTGTGGTGAGAGAAATGAAGCTGGCAATAAGGGATTAAATGTTATATTTTCAATGATTTATTTATTGCAAATAACTTTTTTTAAAACCCACAAATGGCACCTTTACACATGAACCTTACCTGATGGGCTTCATAGGAATCAAGTTGACTTTATCAATGGAAATAAATCAGTGGACAAGCTCAATATCCTCAGTCAAAACTGGGCCAAGGGCAGACTATGGGTTAGACTCATGTGCATGTTAGAAAGAGGATGAAGGAAGTGAAAATCAGTCTACAAGAACTCAAGTATGACCTTAAATTTACTTCATCTGAATTTTAAAAATAATTTTAAGAATAGGTTTGAATCACTTTTTTGTTTTGTTTTTTTAATAATTTTTTTATTGCAGACTGGGGAAGGTCACCTCGGATAACAGCAAAGAGGCATCTTTCAGGTAAAACCCAGGAAAAACCAGCCGGAGAGGGAAGACGGGAAGCTGCGTACTGGGGAAGGTCACCTCGGATAACAGCAAAGAGGCATCTTTCAGCAAAGAGGCATCTTTCAGGTAAAACCCAGGAAAAACCGGCTGGAGAGAGAAGACAAGAAGCTGCGCGCCGGGGAAGGTCACCTCGGATAACAGCAAAGAGGCATCTTTCAGGTACCCAGGAAAAACCGGCGGGAGAACGTGCTCCAGAAAGGAAAACATAATCTACACAGGAGTTCTACAGGACACGTCACCTTCCCTTGGAGACAGTACAACTAAACTTAAGAGACACTGGTCAAAAGAAAAAAAAAAATGTCAGCAGTTGACGTGTTTGGAATCACAGAAGCCAAGAAAGCTTAAGATACAAGCTGTCAG